ACAGTGATGTACCAAGTGCTTATGATCGTCTTCTCAATAATAGTGAAGAAAATATAACTGGTCTCAGCGTCCAATGGTGAGGGGTATGGCAAAATGGTATGCAAAGCAAGAGTTGATGGAATATTATGCAACTATTAAAATAATGTTATGTAGCTGCATAGCAACATACAAAAATGTTTATGGAGTCATTTTAAGCCATAGTAAGCCACATAAAATTTTGTGCACGTGTATTATAATTAAGTGAAAGCACATCTTCTGTGGACAAAGAGAGAGGATAGAAGGTCAGTCGTCAAGGACACTTAGGTTCTAGAGGGGGACATTCATGAGTTTTCCTATGCTTTCTGCTGTTACTGTCACTATATTTTATAATAAATAGTAAGAAGGAAGGAGAAAGACCCAGAGAGAATATGGGGACTGTCTGTGGAGGATCTGGAAAAGGCAGGAGAGTCCTTCTCCCCTGGAAGGCAACTTGGATTATCTTGAGTGCATTTCCTCCTCCCGCTCTCCTCCTCCTCCCACGCCCAGCCCCTCAGAGATTTAAACACTTTCCATTATCTCAAGCACAGTGAATACTGACCCGGGCCCGGCCACCATTTCCTGGGCCACTTGATGAAATGAGATGCAAGAACCATGTCTTGTCAAACTCAAACATACAGCCCCTCGACATGGCTGTGGGGGGAGCCGGCGACCCACGTACTCGTGGTGTATAGTGCGGGCCGTCCCTCTTGTCAGCCCTCGTGGCCTTCAGACTCTCAGACAGGCTCAGTAGGGTTGAGCAGACAATCTGGGGTTCTCAGCCCTTTTCCCCAGTCCCTGGCCTGAGAAGTATCTGGTTTGCTTTCTTATTTTGGTGGTGGTGGTGGTGGTGGTGCTGTTTGAGGTCAGGAGACCTGAGTTCTAGTCCTGCTCCTGCCAGTCACTGGTTCTGTGACTTGGGCCTCATCTACTGCTCCCCTCTCCTGTAAAATGAAGATGCTAGACCAGGCTTTTGGAGCAGCGGGAGGGCTGGTGCTTGGCCGGGTGTGAAGAGCCAGGAGTCCCTTAGATGAGACACTTCTGGTGAGGAAGGTCTGTGAGGGCAGGGCTCTGAGCTACCACCCCCCTCACAAGATTTCATTTGAGGAATAAAACAAACAAGCAAATCCCACAACATTTCTATCACTATAACAAAATAAGACCCCCCCCCGCCCCCGCCGCCATGACTGGAGAATGTGCTCAGGCTGTGCTAGGCGTGGAATTGCACAACTGGCCTTCGGCTCCTTTTGCCCAGGCACCTGCAGTCGCTCCCGGCTCACGTCCCCTGGCCTTCCGGCCCTTTCCACTCTCGTCCAACTTCACCCTTCTCCACCTGTCCTGCTACAGGTGTCCTGGGTTATTCCTGGGCCACATGCCCCACCCCTGCTCCCTCCTCCCTGTTCCCGGCCCAGCCCACTGCTCCCAGCTCATCTCTGCCCATCAAAGCCCTGCCCGCTTTGCCCATTCCTTATTGCAGGAATCAGATGCAGAATCAGCAGTGCATGAGGTCTGGATTCAAATCCCAGCCCTGCCACTTACCAGCACGTGACCAGAGGGCAAGTTATTTTGTCTCTCAGGCCCTCTGTTTTCTCATCTGCGCGATGAGATTCGTAGTGGGGATCCGAGTGCCTGGCACAGCATGCCTGGCTCCTGCAAGGGTCAATACTGCCCTTCCCTTCCGCTTCTGTTTCCCTTGCGTGCATATAACCTTTATCAAAGTAGAACGTGTATGCAGGAAGTTTGCACAGCCTTTTCTTCAAAGTAATACATGCACCTAACTTCAAATTCAAATAGTAACAAAGGGTTCACGATTAAAAGTGGCTGCCCCTGCATTACCACCTCTTTCCGTCCTCTAGAATTTCCCACTGCATATTTTAAAACTGGGTACATGAGCTATTTATTCCATAATGGGAAGCCTGTATCTCCCCGTCCCCTTCACCCATTTCGCCCCCCACCCCCAGGCCCCGGCAATCATCAGTTCGTTCTCTGTATATATAGGTCTGATTCTGCTTTTTGTTTGCTCATTTATTTGTTTGGTTGTTGTTGGTTTTTTTTTTTTTTTTTGATTCCACATAAAAAATAAAATAAGGTATGTCTTTACTATAGAAAATCAGGAAATGTAGACAAGCAAAAAGAAAACCAAGTGTAACACCTGAAATCTCATTTCTCATTTTAGAACGTTTTCTTCCAGATGGCTTAGCCATAATACTTTTTCCCCAATAAAGTTCCTTGTATTTTTTTCCCTGTGCCTTACAGCTTTAATCGCAGCCTTATTAGTTTAATTAAGGGAAGGAAGCGAATATTTGTTGAGTAAAAGGTGCTCAGTTCTTGCTACCCCAGCGTGGGCATCACCAGGAAGCTTGTTAGGAATGCAGAGTCGCAGGCGCCACCCCAGAATCTGCATTTTGACAACATCATGCACGTTAAGGCTGAGAAGGGCCTTAGACTGGGGCTGCTCAGAGCCACAGTGCAATCCGCGAACTGTTCCTTCTAGTCCTGCACAAGAGGCTTGAGCCAGAATGTAAACGCCTGCTACTTCCTTTGTAGAGAAAGACTTACTACAAAATACTGCAGCTGAACGAAACAATGCGACTGATGAGGAGGGTGATTTCTATTCTGGCCCAGGCTCCTTATCTTGTCAGACACCAGGGACACCCAGTTCCTGGACTTGGCACCCGCCTGCCGACCACACTTGGAGCAGCGCTGTTGAGATCACACACTTGTGAAGTTGGGGGCTGGGACTGCACTGGGTTTCTCTGGCTTTGGATCCCGGCCTCTTCCACCCTGCTTGGATCTGCCCCTCCCACTGGCGGTGACAAATGCACGTGCCTGCACAAATGCACACGCATGCACACGCATGCATCCATGCACACACTCTAGGAGAGCCCTGGCCCATTGTCGGCGATTAGGAAACATCCATCTCTCTCTCTCGTTTTTAAAGATTTATTTATTTGAGAGAGAGGGAGCGCGCATGCACACATGCACGCTCATGTGGGAGGGAGGGGCACTGGGGGAGGGACATGAGGGAGAGAATGTCGAGCAGACTCCCTGCTGAGCGCAGAGCCCAACGCAGGGCTCAATCTCATCACCCTGAGATCAGGACCCAAGCTGAAATCAAAAGTCAGATGCCCGACCAACCGAGCCACCCAGGCGCCCCAGAAATACGCGGCTCTTGATGCAGACAGAGCCCCCCTTGGCCCTGTGTCTCTGTCTGCACCATGCCCCTGTTTACCTTAGAGGGGTTTTACACCAGGGTTACCTGTTCCCCTTTATCAGCTCCTCCGATCAGGGCCAAACAGAGCAGGGGACTTGCAGAGCATCTGGAGTCAAGAAAAGCTGAGCAAAAAAAGCTTTGATGGACTTGGAAGGAGACAAACAACTTCTTTGCTCAGCACCAGATCCTAACAGGAAAAGAGCTCTCCGATCCCGGGGTCCATATAGAATCCAGGATTTACAAACTCCAGGCCAGGCTTCTCCCCAAGAACAGCAGTAAGGGAATAATGTTCCTGAGCTGGGAGGCAAGGCCACTGGGAAGGTATGGATCAGCAGGGGCGAAGCTGGCCTCCTCTAAAATACTGTCACCTGCCCTGAGGAGCTCCGGAATCCCATGACTTTGAATCATGGGGTTCGTTTTTACTTGGACACTGGGGAGACTCACAACTTTTCACACAGCGCAACTTATTTAAAAGAATTGAAAGTCCAGGGGCGCCTGGCTGGCTCCGTTGGTGAAGTGTCTGCCTTCAGCTCAGGTCCTGATCTCTTCGGGGTCCTGGGATCCAGTCCGCATCAGACTCCCTGTTCAGGGGGAGTCTGCTTCTCCTTCTCCCTCTGCTCCTCCCTGCCCTTTGTGCTCTCTATCTCAAATAAATAAATAAAATCTTAAAAAAAAAAAAAAGAATTGAGAGTCAAAGTTTGAATTTTGCAGGCTACCATTTTTCTGGCTGTGTGACCTCAGGGAAGTTATTCAGCCTCTCTGAATGTTGCTTTCCTCATCTGTAAAGTGGGACGTAATAACACTGAGGATTAGTGGCAAGGTCTGTAAAGTACCTAGCACTAACTCATCTGTTCATCCATTCACTCCCTCCTGTATTCAGCATTCTATCTTGAGCATGGGGTGTCTGGCCCTGGGGGAAGAGTGGCGAGCTGGAGCTCACAGCCCAGCAGGAAAGATAGAGATTCTTGAAGAACCAACCACACAAACACTGAAGAAGCCGCAGTCATTGCCACGAAGGAAAATGTAGGAAGCCTGTGCCAGGGGCCACGTCTAATCTGGGAATCAGGGAAGGTTTTACTGAGCAGGAGATTTTGAGCTGAGATCCCAGGGACGGATAGGAACTTAGGAGGCAAAGTAAGGGGAAAACGTGTCAGGGACATAATGGGGACTACTATTACCTTCTAGAATATCATTTCAGGTAGAGAGAAAGGGTCAGGTTTATTTTGCTCTTTGAAGTAAAATCTACATGGAGCAAAATGCACAAATCTCAAGGTACAATTTGATAAGTTTTGACAAATGCACACACCCATGTAACCAACACCTCTATCAAGACCTAAAACCTTCAGATTTCTCTCAGTAGCTTTTTCCAGTGTTACAAAAGTTAGGGGCTGGGTTTTAATGCAAACATTTAACGCAAACATGGGTGGTGCAGAGGAATAAGGCTTCGGGCTGGGTTGAAATCCCAGTTCCGCCACTCTCCACCCATGGGACTTGGCCCGGCTAGCTCCCCTTCTCTGAGACTCAGTTTCCTCATCTGTTGCACCGTGTGAATTAAGCCTACCTCATAGGATTGATTAGGGAATTGAATCTGCAAATGGTTGTGAATGCCCAGCTGGTGCCTGGCACAGGGTAGGCACTCTGGGAGTTTAACCCAGAAGCTAAAGTTTCCAGAACAGAAGCAATGGGTGAGGAAACAGCCTGGCGGTTGGAGTCGGGCCATCCCAGGGCAGCGTGCTCACCCCCCCCCCAACGCTGTTCTCTTCGTCCACAGGCATGTGCTTGCAGGCCTTCGTGGAGGCTTTCTTCTACCTGGCTCAGAGGAAGTTCAAGATGCTGCCTCTCCACGAGCAGGTGGCCTCACTGATCGACCTGTGTGAATACCACCTGTCCCTCCTGGACGAAAAGCGCCTGGTGTGCGGCCGGAGCGGCACATCAGGGGGCCGGCCCCCAGACAGCGGCACCCCCCAGGAGGCCGCCCCCTCGGCTCAGCTGGCAGAGGGCAACCCCCCGTCCTGCACAAACAGCACCCACAAGTTCTCCCAGTCCAGACACGTGCTGTCCTGAGGGCCACTCGATGCTGCCGATGAAGAGCGAGCCCTTCAGGGCCGAAGAGAACCCTCTGGGCTTCCCGCCTGTGGAGAGGGGGCAGGCTGCGGAGAGGTCCTGCTGGAGAGCCCCCCTACTTGTCTCCATGTCCTGCTCGGCTGTGCTTTGAAAGGCTGATGATTCCCCGCCCGCCTTCCTCTTGGTGGTCCAACTATTCATGAGTCATCAGTGGACATATGACATCCAAAACGTGACAGATGGCATCTTCTATTCTGGGCTCACAGGAAGCAACAACCGGGGTAAAACTGTTGTACTGGGGGCATGGGGCGCCCGTGGTCCCCGGCCTGAGCTGTGGCGAGGAAAGAACTCCAGGAAGTCACGTCCCGGGTCTGCCGGGGCCTCCGAGAGAACACTGCTCAGTCCCAGGGACATCACGTTTGCTTCCTACCTGCGAGCTGTGAAAACGAAGTGGCACTAGCAAGTGGGCAGACGCGACTCTCCATGCCAATCACGGGCTACATGGGTGCAGCTAACAGATTGGCCTCATTTATTTCTTTAGCTTGCCTGTTGCCGCAATGATCGCTTTGTTATTAATTAAGAAATGATTAACCAAGAAGTAACTAAGGATGGCTCCGAGAGTCTTAGAGTGGACAGGAGCCTCAGAGGTCATTTTGTTTGATTTTGTTTGACCTTGACCCCAGAGCCGGTGTCCCACCGTCACGTGGCTTCTGATTGCCCACCCTCCCTCCCCTCCACAGATAGGGCGCCACTTCGTGGCCAGAAGGTGGGTGGCAGGCACTGCCAGAGGGCCCCTGGGTGGGCGGAGGGGCTTCAGCGGGGAGGACAGAAGACCCTGGGGAGGGCCAGTGTGAGCAGGAGCATGATGTCCGAAGCTCAAGTGGCAGGTGTGGCATGAGGGAAAGGAGGGCCCACGCTCTCCCTGCCACGAGACCCTTTCCTTGTCTCCATCTGTGTCCCCAGGCCAAGCTCTTCCCGGAGGGGGAGATTCAGAGGCCACCAAAGGTGGCATTTTGGAAAACCAAGTCCTGAAGAGCTCCCTCTGGGCTGTTTGGCGACAAGAGCCACCTGTAATGACTTTGTTTTCCCAAACAGCAGGATAGGAGGCCAAAGACAGGAGGGGCGGCAGAGGAGGCTGAACAGGGACAGTTATCAGCTTGATTCCCCAGTCCTCCCGGCTAGTTTCCTAATGCTCTTCCCATTTTCAGATGGGAAAAGAAAGGTCCGGGGGTGGGGGGGGGGTGACCTGGTAACGTCAGGCTTGGTCCAGTTCTGTTGGTCGACCCCAGAGCCCCATTTCCTTTATGTGTCCCGGTGAGCGTGACTCCAGCTCCAACCCTCCCTGCCCCTGCTCCGGGGGGGGGGGGCGCCCGGGGTCCCCCAGGGCCCTGCCCCTCTCCTGCAGTCTGGTGGCCTGGGCCAGGACAATCAGTGTTCCTAAGTGGTCTGCTGCGAGAGAAACCACCTTGGACGACCCCAGGCCCACTCTTCAGTCCCTGTTGTTGCCGGAGCAAATGGGCTTCACGGTGAAAGACCAAGTAAACATGTCTCTCACACTTGTTAGCAACTGGGTGCAGCACAGAGTCTTTTTAACAAAGCTCTGATTTTGTTTTCAGAAAGCATTCGCTTGCCAACATGGAGTGCAGTTTTCAGCTCCAAAATCAACCAAGCACATTGGATTTTGGTGGGGGAAATGTCAATAGGTTGAATTCGAGCCACGTGGCTTGGGGTGATTTGAAAATGTCAGTTCTCACGGTGAGGAATGTCCTGTCCCCCACCTTTGCACGTCATCTGTGGGCAGGTGGCTCTGCCCAGCCCTCCAGGTCACTGTCTCGAAGGAGCCCCTGCTCTGTGCCAGGGCCCGAATGAGCCCTGCACCCCATGGTGAGTGCCGGAAATGAGGCCAGTAAGTGACAGACGGGCCCTTTTTTCTCAATGCTGCTGAGCAGGAAGAATTAGCGGCTGCTTCCTTATCAGGGTGAGTGATAGGCTTCCCCCACCTCCTTGGGGCCCAGGGGAAGCCCCCCTTGGGTAGCTGGCCGCTCGTGCTGCAGGGTGCAGCTGAAGTGAGAGCAAAGACAGACGTTCCCTTTCTCCTAGAAGAGAGGAACCGGGAGCCAGGGAGCCGGGGTCCGGAGATGCCCCACGAGAAGCTGAGCCCCCTGTGCTTTGCCCTGCTTTCCCCCATTTCTGGGATACGGCCCTCAGGATCCACCCCTGGCCTCTTGTCACCTCGTCCCCCTTCCTCCCCCTCCTGCCGACCGCTCCCCCCCCACACGTGCGCACACACACACACACACGCACACGCACATGCACACACACACGCACACACACAGTCCAGCCGAAGTCCCTGAAGGGCCAGCACTCCAGAGTGGGTTGAGTTCAGTGAATGGAGAAGATCAGGTACCGCCCGTCTCAGCTTTAGGGACACCACGGGGCCATGCCTGCCTTGCTGCTGCTGGTGCCCGGGTCAGCCTCCTTCCTCTTCCACGCCAGCTGTCCTGCCCCCCTCCCACCAGCTTCCTAGGAGAGGTGCTTCTCTGCTGGCCCAGCAGGAGCGCCATCCCCACAGCCTGGCCAGTCTGGAGCCCGCTGGAGGGGCTTACAAAGGCACGTTGGATCCCGCACAACTGTTCCAAGCACCGCCTAACGGGCCCCTCCCCACGTGCAGAGGCAGAGCGTCCCGGAGACAGAAGCCTCCATCCCCAAACAAGTGTCGTCTTGTTTCTCCCGTGGGTCCCTGTCCACTCTCCCTAGCTCGGACTTCATCACCTCCTGCCTCTCCTCCCCCTCAACTCATCCTCCATCCTCCATCCCCAGTGGCCCAGAAGGAATTCAGAGAACCACAGAGCTGCCCACACGATCCCCTAATTCAATCAGCCGTCAGCTCTGTCCACATAAAGCCCACGCTCCTTAACCCAACGTTCAAGGCTGCTCATAATCCAGCCCCTTCCTTCCTTTCCATCCTGGCCCACACACGTCAGGGGGCAGCCTCGGCCTGTCCCCTGCCACCATGCTCCCAGGGCACTCGCTGTCTGTTGCTGCCCCTCGGGAAGAGAGTGTGCTGGTCTCCTGCCACCGTGGCTGGGTCCCAGGACGAGGACCCGCTCCAGGCTCTCCCACCTTCGTGCATACTGTTCCCTATGCCTGGATGGCCTCCCTCCATCCAACGGACACTCATCTTCAAGGTCCAGCTCAAACGTCCCACTGCAATCCCTGCAGCAGAATAAACTGTTCCCTCCATCTACTTGGGAGAATCTGGAAAGTTCTGTTATCATGCTTGCCCTGTGGCATCACAGAGCTCCCTCCCACCAAGCTGTGAGTTCTTCCAGGTCAGGCAGGTGCTGGATTCACACCGGCCCCTCGAGCATGGAGTGGGGGGTCCAGCAGGTGCTGGTTGCTAGTTAAAGTAAATGTTCAGCGAGTCCCAGGGGAGGAGTGGCATTACAGTTCTCCTCCCCCCACCCCCAGAGCCTGTACATACCCTTAAGATTCATGGATTTTTAAACCCTGCCAAGGGATTCACTGAAGCCCTCCGTGCCCCGAGCTGGCTCACTGGCTCCCTGGGGCACCATAGCTGCCCCATGACCCCAAGCAGACAATTGGTCCTCTGACCCTGGGCCATCTTTCCTTTGTCATTTGTCCCTTCATCCTGGGCTTAGGTCTGGGCTATGCCCCCCGTCGGCATCCCCTCCTGTTCAGCCTCCGAGACTAAGGCCCGCCGGGCTGGATGATGCTAGCCATGGCTCCTGTCTGGTGTGGGGCCTTCTCTTCAGCTCTGTAGCCGCCTGTGTCTGCATGGGGCGGG